TAGCCTTTCGATTATGAAACTGGGGTTCGAATCCCCGTTAATTCTTTGCTAAAATATTTTCTAACTTGTGTAAAGGTAAACGTATTACAGACATGCATGCAAAGCATATTACGAACGCACGCACGCACGTTCAACGCTGAAATGGAAATTGTGCGACGCGCGCGCGCGCGCGCGCGTGTGTGTGTGTGTTCGTGCGTGCGTTCGTAATATGCTTTGCATACATGTCTGCAATACGTCTACCTTTACACAAGTTAGAAAATATTTTAGCAAAGAATTAACGAGGATTCGAACCCCGGTTTCACAAATGAACGGCTAGAGCTCTAACTAGATGTACTAACGAGACACTCGCCTAGAGCCAAGTGGTTTTACATAGATACATATATGCACATTACGGACGCGACAATTCTTATCCCTCTGTCACTTCCTTACTCCCCTCTCGCGGATAGTTCGCCCGTGACCAGTCAAGCGTTGAAAAACATTCGCAGCAAAATGACTGTATTTCAGCCGAAACTTTTTCACTCCCCGAGGCACAAAATGTGAATTTACGCCTATAATACACGCGCACGCGTGAGTGCGACCACACCCGCGTGTGCGCATCCGAGGGTGGGTGTGTATGTGTGATTTTGTGACTGTAAAAATGCGTATTATAGCCGTAAATCCACTTTTTGTGCTTTGGGGGGTGAAAAAGTTTAGGTTGAAATACGGCCTTTTGGTCGTCAATGTTTTTCCATGCTTGACTGGTCGTAGGCGATACCATTTGGGAGAGGGGGAGGCAAATTTGGAGGGAAATAGAGTGAGAGGAGTGAAGGAAGGAAAGATGAGAGACAAGGAGGGAGGGAGAAATGCAGAGGGAGATGCGCGCACGTACGCGCACGCACGGACGCACACATGCACAGACGCACACGTGCACAGGCACGCATGTACGTTTATTGTTGGCACATACACAGGCATATTAAATTGCGGCCGCGACAATTCTCCTCCCTCTCTTTCTTTTCTCTCTATATAGTTACTTCTCTCACCTTCTCGCTCACGCTCTCCCTCTCTGTGAATCTCACCCTCACATACATACTCTCTCTCTCGCACTTTTTCTCTGTTACTCGGGCGCTATATATATATACTCTCCTATCCCCGTTTCTCCCTCTTACTCACTTCCTTACTCTTCCTGTCTCGCTTTACGTCTGATCTCTCTTTCTACCTCTTTACACACCCAGCTCCCTCTCTTCTCCTACCCTATGGCTTCTTCTATCCTCCTCTCTCTCCTCCTCTTTGGCTTCCTCTGTCCTCCTCCTCTCTCCCTTTTCTCTAGCTTCCTCTGTCCTCCTCCTCTCTCTCCTATCCCCTCTTTATACCACTCCCCCTCCTCCCTCACACATACTGCTTCCACCAACTCTAACTGACGCGGTAGAATAATTTATTGAATAAGACCCAAGATTTAGTAACAATGTTTTATTTTTCAGCTAGTATATATCACATAGCAAATATATAACACATCTTAAACCAGACACTGACACTGTAATTTCATTCTGATATGGTAGCATCTAAGAAAGATACATTGCTTGACATATGAGAGATCTACTTCATGTGGCAGTCAAATATTCTAACTTTCTATATATTTTAAAATAACAACATGAACTCAAAAGAATTTTGTGCACAGGATGACAGAAATGAAGTCACGTGTCACCTTAAGCTTAGCTTAATCTTTCAGAATACGTGTAGCAATAGCACGGGAAAATAATGACAGTCTGTCATTATTCATTCCTGGTAATAGGTGCGTAGTTTTCTCACTATGGTTGGTCATAAGTGACCAGCTTAACCTCATCACGTGTGCAGTGTATTAAGTAACGTAAGTAAGTAAGTCAACCTACAAGGCACCAGTTTTAAAACGCATTTTAAAACCATGGCGCACACCGGCAATATTCTAAATAATAAGATAGATGAAGGAAAAATAATCATATTAAACTTGGTTGAAACTTTCTTCACGGTGCATGACACGCAATAGTATACTACCTGGATCTAAGAACGTAACAGGTTTTTTGAAGACAAAATAAACTGTCGTTGCAATATATAGTAACTGTATATATTGCGAATGACAGTAGTAATAGCAGTTTACATGAAAGTAACACAACCTAGTGAAGCTTAGTAATAACTGTGTGAAAAAAGCTATCTAGCTTGTTTATAGTAATAACCCTACTTCTACTATTTTTGAAGGGTACATGTGATCTGGACATTACATGGAATGGAATGTGGGTAGATTATCAATTTTATGGGGTAGTAATATGTACATGGGTAGAGGGTTACTAGTAGACAAAATATAACTGCAAACCAGGGTTGGCAGCAGACAGAATAACCAGATCTACTTCTTCTTCCTTCGCGCTATTAGTCCCTCTGTAGGGGTCGCTGCAGTGGACTCTTCTCCTCCATTGTTTCCTATCCTCCCCTTCGTGTCACCAATCCCTTCTTTTTCAAGTCATTCTGCACGCAGTCCTTCCATCTTGTCCTTGGTCTCCCCCTTCTTCTTCTACCTGCTGGTTGCATGTTCAGCATGCGTCTTCCTATGTAGTTCTCCTCTCTTCTCATCACCTGTAAAGACAGAATAACCAGATAAACCATCCATTTGCCTGTACTTGAATTTGAATTTGTAAAATAACTTCTCACTTTACAACACCTTCATTATTCTATTTCGCTATAAAAAGGAAGAGACACTTGTATTTTCAAGCTCAATCATAGGTTTACAAGGCATTCACCCATCAGCACTCCACACAACTCCCATGTACTTACAGTTGCACACCAGTGTCGCCATCTACAGTGCATCAACGAGATTAGCAGCCTCCAGCTTCTCAAATTCTCTCTTCCTGGTTTTTACGACATCACGTATGGTCACCTAAAAGCACAAAAAGAAAGCACATTAGCGAAGTTCTTGATTCCTTCTCTTCTGCCTTTTCCCCCGTTTCACCCTATCAGCAATAATTTTTCAGCGCAACGATTTCCAATGGATGCAATAATGAATTCTGTATATTGCACCAGACATTAATATCTGATTATCAAATTTATAATGTGAGTCTACATGGAGAATTTTTTAATGTGTTCACACGATGATCGCCACTTGGCTGTAATTGCTTAGTTGGAATCTCAACAGGTACATCCGTAATGGCAACTGCATAACTAAGGGAATCACTAACATTACATCAAATACACATCAACTAGTTCATGACGTAGTGAGCATAGCGAGTGAGTGGCATAGTCTTACAATGCAATTGATCTGACGTAGTAATGAAATCATGAAATTAATGTATTGCAGATGTGATCTTCTGTGCAGAGACAGAAGAGTGAATGTGCGTGCATGCATGCGCATTGTGTGCATTGTGTGCATGCGTGCGAGATGGTACTTACAGTCCAGCATGGCGCGCCTGAGAGCCGCGCCACGCAGGTTGACCTCTAGCGTTCCATCAACCACACCATGAAGCCGGTCTCTTAGTCTGCAACGAGATTACTATGTATGTGAATGCACGTATTGTACACGCAAACGCGTAAATACCTCTACCTGTTTATTTCCGTCTCTCTCTCTCTCTCTCTCCAGCTCTCATGCACACTCTCTCTAATATTTTGCCGAAGTCCTTGGATTTTATAGAGAGGCCACTTTCGGTCCCTAATGCTGAGATATGAGATAAAGGTCTAACGTAAGTGTTTGGCCGTGGGAGAGAGTAGAGTTACGCTTTGCTGATTTAACAACTTTTCTGAGTATAGACGCAAATGACCATTTTACGCTTTTAGTGAGAACGAGGTCATTCACTTTTTGGCGATGTCACAGCTGCATCGTTATATATGATGATGTCACAGCTGCATCGTTATATATGATGATGTCACAGCTGCATCGTTATATATGATGATGTCACAGCTGCATCGTTATATATGATGATGTCACAGCTGCATCGTTATATATGATGATGTGTCAACATTACAATAATTTCATATCTTAAGTGCTATGTATTTGTTAACAATGGTGGAAGAGTTATCTTACTTCTATCTAAAAATATTGCAAGCCACTTGTATACTAAATGTGAAGAGAATTATTTAACTCCACCTCTCGAAATCATGTGGGTGACACATCATAAACCCCTACATAGAGAAAAAGCAAAAGCGAAACAAAGCGACGCGATTAGAGAGTAAACCTCCTTGGCAGAGGTAATTACAAGTACATGATTAGATACTCTCCACACTTACGTACTAAAATGTTAAAGAGGTTTAATTTAGTTAAATTAAAAAGGTGTGTAATCACGCTCAGATGATCGAGTGCAACAAACAGGCTTCTAGTACTATAGCCTACGTACAGTTGCCGCACACGCCTGCGGCAACTGTACGCAGGCTATAGTAGTGCTGAGAGGGTCTGTGTCCCCAGGGTACTGCCGGAACGTACCCTGGGTACGGTCCGGTATACCGCAACGTACCCTGGTAACTATCTAGCAATTCTAGCTGATATGGTTAGGCCGGGTTAGGGTTAGGGTTAGGGTTGGGGAGTAGGCGTAGGCGACTCCCTAGACTCGTTAATGGAGTAGGCGAAGTACGGTCCGGCATATTAGATAGTAGTATTTAGTACCAGGGTACGGTCCGGCAGTAGCCAGTACCCTGGGGGACATAGACCCTCTCAGCATTACTAGAGCTACCGCTATCACGTGACATAGTCTTCAATATTGTCCCCTGGACTTTGAAGAGTCCTATTATTTACGAGGGTAACCTTATAAGTGTAGTCTTCGTAAGTGCTAGCCTAGGATTAGGACCTAGGCTAGGGTCCATAGACTAAGTATAACTATAAGTATAACGAAGACAGAGAGTATTTAGGGCTAGGATTAGATACAATAATGTAACCCAAACACAGGATAGGGTAACCTTAGATACAATAATGTAACCCAAACACAGGAGTAGGTTTGGGTTACATTATAATTATTGTATCTAGCCTCTAGGGTAACCTATCCTGTGTTTGGGTTACATTATTGGGTCGCATTATTGTATCTAGCCTAGGATTATGATATGCGCATTTACAATCAATGTAAACAAACATGTTTCTGATGGCGACAACCCAGTTTACGCAGAAATGTCATGTGGTCCTATCTGGTGTATTTCCATACCGTTAATTCCGAAAACAACAACAAATTGTCCAAATTGGCCATTTCACTTTTGACTAATTTTTGTTTAGTTTGTCAGACTGTCCTGTCACTAAGCATTTTATGGATGCTCACTTGAAACTCCGAACATGTGCACTCTAAAATCGTTCCAGAATGTACCGCTAACTGTACTGGCGGCGCCACCGTCCAATGACATTTTATGCATTCAATTAAATTGATTTATTTCTTGAACGGACCCTCTCGTGGTATGGAAGAAAACATAGTTACATAATAAACATAGGAATCATGTTTAGCAACATTTGCCAAACAATTAAATAAACGGCAAGATTTAACAAATAACTATAGCACCGAATGTCACCTGACACCATAGATACTTCACGTACATACTATGATGCATTTAAGTGATGGTGTCGGACGGTGTCGGACGGTGTCGCCGCGAGTTCCAAAATGTACCGCTAATTGTGCTGGCGGCGCCACTGTCCAATGGAACCCTTAAATGCATCATAGTATATACGTAAAGTATCTATGGTGTCAGGTAACATTGGGTGCTATAGTTATTTGTTAAATCTTGCCGTTTATTTAATTGTTCGTCAAATGTTGCCAAACATCATTCCCCTGTTTATTATGTAACTATGTATTTCTTCCATGACCGGAGAAGGTGCGTTCAAGAAATAAATCAATTTAATTTAATGCATAAAAATGTCATTGGACGGTGGCGCCGCCAGCACAATAGCGGTACATTTCGGAATGAGTTTAGAGTGCGCATGTTCGGATTTTGAAGTGAGCATCCATAAAATGCTTAGTGGCAGATAACATGTAAACAAAAATCAGTCAAATAACTTTGGCATGTTCTGGTAATGTGTTCATTCACAATCGTTAATATTATCTGTATCAGCGTTATATACAAAGTATAGCACGTCATTACGTTTATTGATGCTGATCTGTATCAGCGTTGTAACTTGTAACTTGTAACTTGTAGTTGTAGTTGTAAGTTGTAAGTTGTATGCCTGTATTTAACTGTCGCCGCCGCACGACTCATAGACGCATGGCGGCAGGGGGCAAGAGAGCCGTCCGACTCATAGTAGCCTAAATAATCACAATGTATTTGTCGATCTCATTTTTGAATGTGTTTACACTAGTCTAGGCACTAATACAACTAACTGGCAAAGAATTCCAGGAATCCACCACCCGCTGTGTGAAAAAGTACTTGCGCAAGTCCAGGCGCGATCGCGCCTTGATCAATTTAAACTGATGTTGGTGGTACAACACTGTAAGTGGTGTAATGGCTGTATACACTGTATCGTCATTACGTTTATCGAGGCTACGTGACGCTAGATGATAACTTTTAGTTACTTTAGCATGTTATGCTCGTTTTCATTTACCTATCACCCTATCTGTATCAACGTTTCCTTTTGCATCGTCTGCTTAGACGATTTCTTGACGGTAAATAATGGTACCGCCTAATACGCGCGTGGGCAACTTGGCAACACACAATAATGTCAATAGCAATCCACAGGGACAGCGAACTTGTTAGCAGTTTATCCGATTATTCCGATATAGTGCACCAGTGTCAGTGACACCTACCTTGTTAGCAGTAGTTTAAATACGCTAATTTAAGCTACCGTTAATTTAAGAATAAGCACATAAACACACAATTTTGCATGTGCCTGGTTCACGGACCCCCTGAAGCCCATCCACGAACCCCCAAGTGGTCTATCAACCACAGGTTAAGAACCCTTGCTCTAGCATCTCTATATATTTCTATGGTAACAACACGCATTATATGCTAGTCATGCTTTTTGTGTATATACATATCCTTGGTAGTTATCGAATTTTGTGAATTCAGAATTTCATTGTAAAAGTATGCTATGTATTGTATATGATGGATAATTCCCCAAATAAAAAAATATCTGACGGGACAGTGTGAGAGGACGAGAAATGGAAGCAGTGCTAGTAAAAAAAATAACATGTTATAAGCTGTTGGGTTCGTTACAACAGTATATAGCATATTTATTGTCCAAACGTCTACATGCAGTGGTGAGGGGTGGTACAGTAGTGAATGAATTCCAGCATTTGGTTTTCACATGGAACTAGCCTAGCCCGGCACGGGGAAGAGCAGGCAACCTGTGCATACCCCGTGTTTCCAGCACATTCTGCATCGCTGAAGGGGAAACAGTGTGCACGGATGAACATGAAGGAATTTGAGGCAACATCCGTTCATGCCAATTTCGACTCGTGCTCAGACCTGCTGACTCGACTACCGCCACCAGGGCGGCACTGCCTGTCCTTCGGTCTGCGAGGACACGTTAGGGGGGCTATCCTGCACATATCTTCGCACCTTCAACCGAATGGGAATTTTTCCCCCTGGAGGCAGACTGACCATTACATGTACATCACGTAGGCTCTCCCAGCAGACTTTGTTCTCACGCGATCACAATTCAACGTCAGGGTGAAGACGACACGGCTGAGATTCGTTCATTCGATTGCACGGAAACTGTTGCTATAAACGTGTTTGGTGTGCGGAAGAGTTCTCTGTACAGGAATGACTAGCTTATACGCACGTGCTAACACATATAGCAATATCCGCGTGCGTGCGTGCGTGTGTGCGTGCATGTTGGGGGGCACCTTCCCGTAGAACGCGTGTGCATGCATGCAGGCGCCTGGATGTGTCTAATTGATAGCAGTGTGGATTGCAGCAGCAGCACCAGCACCGCAGCAGCAGCAGCAGCAGCAGCAGCAACAGTCCTGCTCTGTGACATAATCTTTATACACCTACAGATAATTTACCTGCGGCTCTGTTAAATACATTTTTACAAAAGTTGGACAAGTTTATACAAGAATGTGCACATATTTACTAATTATTTATATATATATATATATATAGATATAGATACACATTCATAGATATATATTTCGATAATCTTCATGTAACGACTGTTATATCACTATATACTATTACTACTATAACGGGGCCAATACCGTATCGAAGTCTACAAGACAAGCCTGACAGAGAGTAGAATCATTAATGTGTTATCATAGATGTTATCATAGATGTTAATAATACAACAGACAAAGCGTAACGATCGAGCGAGGGTACCCGCACGTCGTATTACACTGGCGTTATTCACGAAATAAATCGTACAAGTAAGTATCGCTTCAGTTCTGATTCAGTCGAAGCACATCGAGTTACTCCCCCACCCCCATCATCGCAGGCAAAACGTAATTCGCAATGTACATTTCGAATAAGTTTAGGGATAAAACGTCATAATATTAAATACTTATGCCAACCCTAAAAATAAGTTACATTTTAACACAATCATCCGAACGTGTGCACGTGTTGTATACAATGCCTCTAGTTGCTATAACTTAACGTAGCACCGTATATAGTGCAATAAAGGGTATAGGAAGTAGAGCTATTTCATACGTTACTATTTGTAAATAATACAAGACAAATTGCAACCGCGACGCCATCGATCTCTTCTCCGCTTGTACAATATCTGAGCATAATAATTGGTTTCATAATTCCACCATTTGTGTCTCCGTGTTGGTCGCATTTGCGTAGAGCTGACAGAATGTACAAGGTAATGTGGTTTTATTCAGTCAGTTTTATATAGTTTGTATACTCGACTCACGCAATCCAGAAACTAACGTTTTGTAATGCACTTCAGCAATATATATCCAACACGAGAGATATGCTATATACTTTCCCTGAACCCAGATCGCATAAGTTTTTCAGGGTCTGTAGAGCTTTGTAAAATCTCCGCAATGTTCCCAAAAGACACCCAACAGTAGTTCTGCGTTCCCTGGCACTGTCTCTATTAATGGATGATACTACCCTATTTAAAACTCCCCTACAGTGGTGGAAACTCGACATGTATTAGGAAGTACGTATTTTGAAGTCAAATCAAATTTTTTACATGCATCTACAGTGTGTATGAAAGTTTGTCCTTCTCTGCTCAGATGCACCAGTCATTAGGAAACACGATTATAGTTGTCGGACCGCAATTAATGAGCGAGCAAACTGATGAATGCGAGTAATACGTCAATTTCACTCGCTCAACTAATCACACTTCCTATCGCAACACATCGCCTACACGCATTACAGTCTTAACCACTGCCATCATGAGCTCATCTACCCAATTAGTTTTGCCAACTGCGTAAACAAATTAAGTTAATGTGATTTGAAAATGCAAATTTAAAATTGCTAACTTCAATTGCGAGCGAAAACGCGAGACGAGTTTTTTACCGTTCGTTCCAGAAACGGAGCATGACCCCCCAGTGAACTATTTGCAATTAAATGATGATTTCACTACATTTCGCTTCCATCCGACGCCCCGGCTCTGGGGGCGAGTGCGTGATATGCATGACACACGGCGAAAGCGGTTTATTCACACGATCCGTAAAATTAATTTCTAAAAATAAAACCCGATATGGAAACGATAAAATGATATGGAGCATCGCAGGCAGCTAACGATAAAAAACCACACCTGCCAGGTTTTCCTACTTTCTCTGCGTGGCCCCCACTGATCACTAACATGATATCCAGTACCAGGGCCTATCCTATATACAGTAATGTAACCCAACAGAAGAGTACGGTTACTACTCTTGTGTTAGGTTGCATTATCGTATCTATGCAAAAGTTTCAATTACGAGAGAAGGTTCAACTACGCTAGGTATGCATGCGTATACGTAAGTGTATTTGCATCTCTGTCTGTATATGTGTATGATACAGAGTAAGAATATGACCTTTGCTGCATTCGTTTATAAAACCAGTGAATCTAGGGTGCAGTGCATATGCCGCGCAATACTCGATATACTGAAAATCAAGATAAGTAATTCGCTCATTGTAACTGGCTGTTCGACACGGCGCCATGATGAGCAAGCAAGCACTCTTCCTCCGCGAAAACACGGAGCCTCACCGGAATATTCGACATCTCTGCTAACCGGAATACACTGGCCGTACGCCCATCTGAGCAAACGCGCTTCCCTGCGCCATCGACTCTTATAAACTCTGCGCTTGTTAGGGGTTGGCCGAATAGGAAATTTTTCGAAACAGCCGGACGAGCGGCTCATCCGAACGGGAGCGAACGGCGCGGCGAAAAAACGCGCTCGCGCGTGGAAAAGGTGTGCCCTACATAAATACTGTTTGGTTGACCCGTCTACTCCCGACCCAGAAGTTCTGCGGTCCAGAGCGCGCGGACACAGATACGACCCCCCCCCACCCCCGGGATATGGCTTCGCGCTTCACCTCGCTTATGGTACCTTGCTTATATTACCTCATCGGCTAGCTGACCGCTGCGACTCTCACTCGACTCTCTGCTCTGCTCGTGTTAACTATGTCAAAATCGGGTTGATGGTGAGTGGGTGGGTTGGTGGGAGGGATGGTGAGTGGGTTGGTGGGAGGGATGGTGAGTGAAGTGGTTAGGTGGAGGGATGGTAGAGTGGGTTGCAGGTGGAGGGATGAGTGGGTGATTGAATGGTGAGCTGGGTGAGGTGGGAGGTTGATGGTGAAGTGGGTGAATGTGTAGGTTGATTGTGAGTGGGATTGCGTTGGTGGTTGTGGTGAGTGGGTGGATTGGTGAGGAGGCGATGGTGGTGAGTGGGATGGAATGGGTGGTTGATGTGAGTGGGTTGTGGTGTATGATGGTGAGTGGGTGGGTATGGGGAAGGGATGGTGGTGAGTGGGATGGAAATGTGTGGTTGAATGAGTGAGGTGGGTTGGTGGGTGTTGATGGTGAGTGAGAGTGGGTTTGGTGGGAGGCATGGTGGTGAGTGGGTGGATGTGTGTTGATAGGTAGAGTGGATTGTGGGTGGTTGATGGTGAGTGGGTGGGTTGGTGGAGGATAAGTGGTGGGCCGGGTTTGGTGGGAGGGAATGATGGTGAGTGGGTTGTGGAGGGATGGTGAGTGGTTGGTAGGGTGTTATGTGAGTAGGGTTGGTCGGATGGTCGAGTGGGATGGGTTTGCGCGTGGGAAGAGATGGTGGGTGGTGGTTGGTGGGAGGGAGGTTGGGAGGGATGTGGGTGGGTTTGAATGGTGAGTGGTTCGGTGGTGGTGAGTGGGTGGGTTGGTGGGAAGATGGTGGTGGTGGGTTGGTGGTGGTTGAATGGTGAAGTGGTGTGGTGGTGAGTGAGGGTGGGTTGATGGTGGGAAAGATGGTGGTGGTGGGTTGTTGGAAGGGATGGTGAGTGAGGTTGGTGTGGTGAGTGGTGGGTTGGTGGGAAGGAGTGTGGGATGAGTTGGTGGGAGGATGGTGGAGTGGTTGGTGGGTGGTTGATGGTGACGTGGGTTGGTGGGTGGTAGAGGGTGGGTTGGTGGGAAGGATGGTGCGTGGGTGGTGGTGGGAAGGGATGGTGAGTGGAGTTGGTGGGTGGTTGATAGGTGAAGTGGGTTGTGGGTGGTGAGTGGTAGGGTTGGTGTGGGGGGGGCGGTGGGTTGATGTGAGTGGGTTGTGGGAGGGTTGGAGTGGGTGGTTGATGGTGAGTGGTTTGGTGGGAGGGATGGTGGTAGGGTGGGCTGGTGGTTGGTGAGTGGATTGGTGGGTGGGTTGATGGTGAGTGGCGTTGGTGGAGGTTGGTGGTGTTTGATGGATGAGTGGGATTGTGGGAGGGATGGTGGTGGGCTGGTTGTGGGATAGGGATGATGGGCGAGATGGGTTGGTGGAGAGGGATCGGTGAGTGGGTATGGTGGGTGGTTAGATGGTGAGTGGATTGGTGGGTGGTGAGTGGGTGGTTGGTGGGAATGGTTGGTGGTGGGGTGGGGTTGGTGGGAGGGATGGTGAGTGGGTTGGTGGGAGGGATGGTGAGTGGGTTGGTGGGAGGGATGGTGGTTGAGTGGATGGTGGGTGGTTGATAGTGAGTGGTCGTGGTGGGTGGGTAGTGGGTGGTTGGGGGGGAGTTTGGGGGGTGGGGTGGCGTTGGTGTGAGTGGTTGGTGGTGTGAGTGGGTGGGTTTGGTGTAGTGGGTTGGTGGGTGGTTGATGGTGAGTGGGTTGGTGGTGGTGTTGATGGATGGTGGGATTGGTGGTGGTTGGTGGTGGTTGATGTGAGTGGTTGGTGGGTGGGGTGGTGGGTGGGGTGGTTGAGGATTGGTGGAGTGGGATGTAGGGTGGTGGGGTGAGTGGTGGGTTTGTGGGTGAGTGGTGGTGGTGGGTGGTTGAATGGTGAGTGGTTGGTGGGTGTGAGTGGGTGGTTTGAGGTGGTGGTGGTTGGTGGGTGGGTTGAATGGTGAGTTGGTTGGTGGGTGGGTGGTTGATGGTGAGTGGGTTGGTGGTGAGATGGTGGGTGGTTGCATGGTGGGAGTGGGTTGGTGGGTGTTGGTGTTGTGGTTGATGATGATGGTTGTGGGTGTGAAGTGGGTGGGTGTGGTGGGAAGGATGGTGTGGTGGGTTGGTGGAGGATGGGGTGGGAGGGATGGTGTGCTGGTATGATTGGGTGAGTGGTGGTTGGGTGAGGGATGCGTGAAGTGGTGTTGGTGAGGTGGGATGAGTGAGTGGGTTGGTGGAGGAATGTGAGTGAGTGGGTTGGTGGGTGTTGGTGGGATTTGGATGGGGGAGGGATGGTGAAGTGGGTTGGTGGGTTGGCGGTTGGGTGGAGGGATGGTGAGTGGTTAGGTGGGAAGGGAATGGTGGTGATGGGGTTGGTGGGTGGTTGTAGTGGTTGATGGTGAGTGGTTGGTGGGTTGTAGTGGGTGGGGGTTGGGGGGGGTGGGAGGATGCGTGGTGAGTGGGTTGGTGGGGTGGGTTGGTGGTGGTGATGGTGAGTGGGTTGGTGTGGGTTGGTGGTGGTTCTGAATGGTGAGTGGTGGGAGGGATGGTGAGTGGGTTGGTGGGAGGGATGGTGAGTGGGTTGGTGGGAGGGATGGTGAGTGGGTTGGTGGGAGGGATGGTGAGTGGGTTGGTGGTGGTTGGAGTGGTTTGGTGGGTGGTGATGGTGAGTGGGTTGAGTGGCTGGTGAAGTGGTGGTGGAGGGATGGTGAGTGGGTTGGTGAGGTGGGTTGGTGGGTTGGGTATGGATTGGGAGGATGGTGGGGAAGGATGGTGAGTGGTTGGTGGAGGGATGGTGATTGGGCTTGGTGGGAGGGAATGGTGTGAGTTAGGGATTGGCTGGGTGATTGGATAGTGATGGGGTTTTGGTTGGGAAGATGTGTGGTGGGTTGGTGGGAAGGATGGTGTAGGGTGGTTGTTGGGAGGGATGGTGTGAGTTGCGGGGTTGGGTGGTGTTGAAATGGTGAGTGGTGTGGTGGTGTGAGTGGGTTGGTGGGAGGATGGTGAGTGGGATGGTGAGAGCCAGGATGGTGGAGTGGTTGGTGGGAGGATGGGGAGGGTTGGTGGGAGGGATGGTGAGTGGGTTGGTGGGAGGGATGGTGAGTGGGTGGATGGGAGGGTTGATGGTGAGTGGGTGGATGGGAGGGTTGATGGTGGGGGGAGGGTTGATGGTGAGTGGGTGGGTGGGAGGGTTGATGGTGGGTGGGTGGATGTGTGGTTGATGGTGGGGGGAGGGTTGATGGTGAGTGGGTGGATGGGAGGGTTGATGGTGAGTGGGTTGGTGGGAGGGATGGTGAGTGGGTGGATGGGTGGGTGAATTTGGGTGGGTGCCGTACGTTCAACACCGCGTCGCGCAAAACCAAATACAGACACGATACGAGACACGGGCAATATAGAATAGCAGTGATTCGACCGATCAGCGTCGTTGGTGTCCCGGTGACGTGCACAGAGAGGCCCGACCCACGCGCGCTTATGCTGCCTGCCAGACAAAAAACTGGCGAAGCAATGGATTCGGCCGTCCCGGCAGTTTAGCGTCGTTAATGTTTACGTAGCTCGATAGATGGCGTTGTCGGCACACAATAAGCTCGCGCGTAAACGCCGTGCCGTCCGTTCATTCTCGCAAGGCCAGGTTTCGATTCGCGAAAAAGTCACAAAAACGCGCGTGAGCACATCGATCATCGCAAAGTGCTGACCTCTTGTTGTTTCTCTCTGCGCTCAGCCGCTGCCCACGTGCCGCGCACGCACCGGTGGGGGGAAAGAATCACAATAAAATTTCCCGCGGATATTTCGCTCGTCCGTCATATTAGTTGTCGTCATCGTCATCGCCCGGCGGCGGCGACGCACGCCCGGCGCCCTCTTGCAGCTGAAGTATGTGCTCGACTGCCATTGGTCGCCCATCCTCGCCGACTCTCATTGGCTGCACGATCCCGTCCCTGAGTGAAGACAAAATGGTGAAAACACATTTGCATGGGGAAAAAGGTCACGTCTAACCTACGTATGCAAAGGCTGGTCGATGTCAGATCTCTTAGTTCTCTTAGTAAAGCAACAGTTTCCCACAAATTTATGCGTGATCTGGTAAAAAAAGATTTTCGTTTTATAAAAAAGACTTGTTTATCTAGATTTTTTAATCCACCAGGAGGACATTTCCTAGATTAGTGCCATGGTTACCATGGCTACCATGTCAACAGATGGACCAGAGAAGCCGCGGGGCATCGCTAAGGTTACCGTGTCAACTTGTCGAGCTGCTCGACCAATCGCATTGCTTCGTACTCCTTCTGCTCCTCGGTCATGCCCACCAGCGGGTCCGTGTGAGGTGGCTCCATCTGCCCCGTCACTATATTGATCTGATCTTTGGCTTTGCTGTACCTAACGAGAGCGACGAGCCGAGGGTTACTAATTAACAAGTGTGCCAGCGCTCGCTCGCGCAGCATCTATATATAACGAGGTGAGAAAGCGCCTTGTTGTTTTAATGAACGCAAAGAGAAGCGAGATTTATCACCCACCAGCAAACTTGTAAACAACCAAACTGGCAGCGAGATAGAGTGAGAGGGAGAAAGAGAGAGAAAGAGAGAGAACGAGAGAGAGACAGAGAAAAAGAGAGCGAGAGTGAGAGAAAGAGGAGAGAGAGAGACAGAGAAAAAGAGCGAGAGTGAGAGAGAGCAAGCAAGAGATGGAGAGAGAGAGAAGAAAAGAACAACTTTCTGCCAATCCGGCCATTCCTTCGTCCTAATTCCGGCTCGTTTCCGGCGTGAGCCCTACCCCTCTCCCTCCCCCGTGGCTCTACATTCTGGCTGCATTCCACACTTACTCTTCCGTGTCGGACTCCTCGGACTCGCTCGAGTACTTTCCCATGTTGCCCTGTCCGCCGTGCATGAGTCCACGGCTGGCCAGCAGGCCCGCAGCATTGCCGTACCCCGTGTATTTGACCAGTCTCATCACTACAGACAGATGAAAGAGAGAGATGTGATCAGAAGGTGTGCTACACGTACCATACAGTGTACTGTAAGACCACACAGCCTATGCCATGTAGCTATAATTGTAGGGGATAGTGAGATAGAGACAGAAGGGGCGAGAGAGTGAGGGAGAGGGAGAGAATGTGGGGTAGAAGAGACAGAGAGAGAAGAGAGAAAAAAAGGGAGCGCGAGGGATGGGGAGCAGGAAAGGGAGAAAGATAAAGCGACGAAGAGAGAGAGAAAGAGAAAGAGAGAGAGCGATGGAGAGAAAGATAAAGAGAGGAAGAGAGAGGGAGAGAGAGAAGGTACTAACTACTCTGTCATCTCTTCAACGGTCACGAATTCGTTTATCTGATTATAATCACGTGAGTATCGGGGACGTGTGCAAACATCGGCCAAGTGCATTATGCTTGTAGCGTTCCCATTTGCATGTCTGGCATGTTCACAAACATCTAACGCTGCGTCCGCATTAGAAACCAGACGCGAATCTCTGACACAAATGCAAAGTCCACCGTTTAATTGACACACATCGTAAAACTCTGCGGCAGCCCGAAAAAGAATTTAAAAAAATTGTTGCCATGGCAACGGAAAAGCAAGAAGGCAACATTTGAACATAGTTGTTTCACAAACTCTTGCGTTTCTGCTTAAGTAACCCGGCCCGTTATCAACATCATGATGACTCGTAATGTGACAATGTCGCGCCCATTTTTGTGGTATTGTTGCCTGCGTCAGGCTGAAATCGTTACCCATAGAGCAAGAGCCCAATACAAGTAATCTGAAAGTTGATAACTGTATACAGTCACAGGCAAGAGTTATGATAACAGGCATCTGTCACGATACGCTACTCATTAATAGTTGTTACAGTTTGACAGGATATTCTCGAGTGCAAGCGTAGCCGCCTGGTGGCAGACGATCCACAGCAGACGAGGGGACGCGCACGCGCCCACAGCCACCCGCGGCGACGCGGGGGGGCCGCAGCCGCGCAGGCAGACACACGCATGACCAGCGACCCCACATAGCTCCTCCCTACTCCCCCTCCTCTCCTCCGTTATCACCCCCGTCCTACACGACCTTGTCTAATTCAATACCTATTCCAAAGTGTTCTCCCAGTTCGACCGAAATTTACCTACCCTCGTACACTTCACTCACTCACGCATTGAAGGCCCCTAGAAATCACATTCCCGTCAACTCCCTACTACCCGATAGTAAACTGAACACTTCAACCAATATTCTTTTACCTAATCACACGTCTGGGACGTGGTTCTCGGCTAAAACAAAAAGTTTAAAAAGCTTAAACAAAGTTAAAAATTCATAAGATACTATCATCCAAATAGAAACTCCTGACCAGTCGTGCACCCTACAGATAACACTCATCGCTACCGTGGTGAATCATGGGTATCACCAATAAACTGGCGCAGTTCGGCCTAATCGCCTAGAGACATACACAGTCTCCTACACCGGGATTGCCGGTTCGAGTCCCAGCTGGGAAACTATGTTTCCCCCTTTCTTTCCCATTTTTGTCCCTTTACCATACCCGTCTTTTAGTATGTATTGGCCATTTTTTAATTTTTGTATTTTTCGTTATATGTCCACGGTTAGTTTATCTTCATCTTTTGATTTGCTACTATTATTTTACTGTTTGGGAGGATGGCATTAGGCATAAGGAGGATGGAGGCCAGGCCATGCTAATGCATTGGCCAAATGGGATTGAGATGGAAATGTGGTTGGCGACTGCCTATGGGCATGCAATTGTCATGGATGGCAGTGCGATGCCGATGAGGATGGGATGCATGGGAATGGCATGCGCATGGAATGGGATGAAAGTGGATAGATTGCAGGGATAGATCAATCGTTTTAATGATTTTTGGGTGGCGCACCCTATCTCTTTCCCTTCCATTAACTCCCTAAGCGGTCTCCACTCCACTGAGTAATCACTCCACGGTCACCCACTCTCCCCTGACTGGATTCCGCCGGGCAACGCCGAGTATCCCAGCTAGTACTATAATATATACTATGCATATTTCGGCCGGACGAAAATTGAGATTACGAATTTCTAAACCACTAATCTAGATTCACATAAACCAACGACATAGTCGCTCAGACTATATGATCCTTCCTCCCACGTTGAATTTTTAAAGATTTATTGTGAAGCACGAAATAGTTTAAATTAATTAACCAGAATACATTACGCACGCTATCTCACATATATCATAAAATTTCTTCCGGTGACGGTTCTGATGATGATTTTGTACCCATATCTCAATGCTGTGCCGTCATCATGTACCTGCACCTCACATCAGAAAGATGTCAACTCAAAACGATTAGTGATGAATCTGTAAACATGATTGTGTCTAAAAGTACAGTTAGATATTTTTGAAATGTTAACTCAATGTCGTTCGCCGCACAATATGGTAATACGTTATATATAGTAGACACGTTTTAATTAATTTAAACTAATCGTCCGCTTACAATAAACTTAAAATTCACCAGAGACCAAGCTAAGCGACATTGTGTCGTTATATGTATCTGAGAATTTTTGGCAATTCGTAACATCAAGATCGTATCGCACATATGATAGTTTAGTACACTCTTTTACTAACCGTCCATAGCGCTGCGTTACTACCATTATAGCCTATACTCGAGCGAGTACCTCGTGCGACGTATATTTTGTCCGGTCAATTAATTTGAACTAATCTGTGCTGTCAACCTAAAATCATCACTAAAGACATGTTGTGTTTTATCATCGCTATCCCACTCTTCTATCGTCTCAAGAATTTTCCATTTTTCTTTCTGACCCCACAACTGGTAAGGCTTCAATTCGTTTGCGCGAGATTATTAGAGTTAGCCGAACTTTCCTACGCCCATCATATTTAATACCGTAAGCGCATCCGGTGTGTCTGTGGGAGGGGGGGGTTAACGCTGCAGTGTGTGAGGCTCTTGTGAGCGTGCAATGGGCGCAGTGTGCTCGCATAAGAGGCGGAATGCGCGCATTGGAGTTTCGGATCGGCGGCGCCAATCTATGCGCCCTGGAGGCTGACGTTTATCGCTCCAAGCGTATAGGCGTAGGTACCAAAGTTGCAAAGACTGCCGTCGACAAACCATGTTTCTAGGCAAACTACTTGTATCGGTTCCGCTGAACCAACTACTAGTATGGTTTAGCAAAAACCTAGTGTGGGGGGGGGGGGAAATTGTTGGTTCGGCTGGCGCACAGCACCTGTTGGTTAGGTTAATATGTGATAACACGTGTTTCTGTAAAAGAAAAGAATAAGGTTTTTATAGAATACAATATGTTGGTGCCGTTACACATGTGTATGGTTGCGCGCGGAATAGGTTGGTGTGTCGTTGTAACCGACAATATGGTTGGACTAATAATTGAGGCAAACCGTACACGCATAAGTTGAGCAGTCAGATATGACGGTAACGTGTACTAGTACCACTAACGATTTTCATACTGACCAAAGACCATAGCTCTAAATACTATAATAGCCCATCACTCCGCCGCAGTTATTTTAACGTAGTTTCTATCGATCAGGATTGAATAAAATACAAACGAGATTGCGACGGCTAAATTTTGGAAAATCCAAACTTTGCATGAGCCGCTAACGTTGCTAGCGCCCAGACGTTTGCTAGGCCGGTAACTAAAAAAAACTCCCATGAATAATTATAATATAGTAACTAATAAGATCTAGTAGATTAAGTCATGCAACGTTGACAATTGGAGTTCTCCGATTTTATTAGGCCGTGTAGGCCTACCTCTCATGTTTTACTGACTCATAGTGTAAACTGGTCCAAACCGCTGCTATATTGATTATATTCACCCTACTACTGTTTATTCTAACGTACATCCGTTTCGGTTTCTGCCAGTGAACATCGCTACATACTCCTCTTATTCGATTGATCTATTCAATCATATCTTACACAAATACTCCATCTCCTCCTACAGCCGGATCCCCAAATAGAGCCTTAATTCCGACATCGTCAAAAAAGTTGTCGCACATCTGTGGTACCACCGATCAATTTCTTTGGCTACAAAACAGATACTACTAAGTATGTAAGGTCAAAAATTTTGACTATAATAGGTTCACAGTGCTTGCTTTTAGCACTTTTACAATTTCTGTAGCAAACCATTTTCATCACCCGCGACTAGTGACATATTCTTGTATCCGTCGTACTAGAATGTTTATAAGTTATAAAATATAAAGTCCATAGCATTTCCGTGATGAGAGGAATCATGATGTTATGTCAGTGTATTATTTTCTATTGGTGTTACGTAGTTGGGGTATTAAATTGAAATTTCATCTTCTCAGATGTGCAAGTGGGAGAGAGGACACGTTGGCATATTAACTACTATTCGGCTGACCTATAATCTCGTAACCAGCCTAGTTCTGGCTGATAGATCGCGCAGCAAGTAAACACAGCCAAAGCAGACGAACAAATAAGAAGTTGTTTATTCTAATCCCCTGGCTAATTGGTTTGAGATGTCAGAGCGGAGCTGGCAGGACGTCGACAGAGTAGAATACCGACAGTTGGAGGAACGTTAGCATCCTTTGATAATAGACCAGAGCTGGATTCAAAAGAAAGTATGCCGTCTAACAACGTCTATGTTATTCTAGTTCATGCCGATGAAACAGATATCACAGAACAGTGTCAAGTTGAGAATAAGAGTTTGTTGCTTTCAGTAGTAAACCCGACGCCTTCTGATCTCAAAATGCTTCCAGCATTTCAGGTATTACAGAGTATTATATAACTGGACTTGACGGACTGAGGGGCCATCTAAAGGGATTAATTCTGATACTACACTGGATATAAATCAACTGGTGTATTAAATAAATGTATGAAGTGGAAGCTACAATGTATTATTATATTGTTTGCCTAGGCTATCAAAATTGGTATTTTACGGTTGTTTTGATAATATTTAGGAGGTAACATTCGTACGCCTGACATGCCAGCCAAATCCTGCTTTCACGCCTCGAACATGTGCAG